AGAGGGAGAAGCAGGCTCCTCGCCGAGCAGGGAGCCCGATGTGGGATTCTATCCCGGGACTCCAGGATCATGACCTGAGCCGAAGGCAGTCGCTTAACCAACTGAGCCACCCAGGCGCCCGTCAATCCCAGTCTTAAATAAAGCCATTAACTGCCTCCCAATTATCTATTAAAAATTTGATCCTCCCATTAAGAATGTTATTTTCACTTGAAGAAACCATAGTGAGGCTATTTTTTATTGATGTCCAGGGAGGGCTAGCATGCACTATTATAGGCCAGTGGTCAAAAAACTGGCCGAGTTTTTCTGTAAATAAAGTTTTGCTGAAGCACAGCCATGCTCATTCCTTTAGATATTGCCTATGGCTTCTTTTGCACAACAACAGCGAATAAAAAATAACTGTGACAGAAACCATATACTCTGCAAAGCCTAAAGTATCTACAACCTGGCCCCTTCCAGAAAAAGTTTACAGATGTGGCTTAGTCTCTCACTGCAGAGGGCTCTGCAAGCTTTCTAAAGTATAGGCATCTCTACATCTATATTCAACCTGTACTCTGGCCCAACAGTTAACTTATTACACATCTGAGTCAATGGTTCTACAATGTTGTCCTTGAGTTCCTTTTAAAACACCCCTGAAGGCTATGTGATTTTGTTGATTTATCTACATTTATTTTATCAATCTGGCTTAAACTATCACGGGTATTTGCTCTAGTGCCTTCAATTAATTCACTTCAGAGTAAGGTTAAGGCAATTAACTCCTTCAGCTTAATAATTATTTCCTTTCCAGAGAGCTGCTACATAATCAACTCAGTCCTGCTCTACCATTGTTGATTTTTAAATCCCTTACAAAATGCTCCCAAATTTTTTTTTCTACCTGTACAACAATTTTATTAGAGTTTGTAAGTAGACTTCTTTGCTTCAACTGGGTTATTCTAACATGTTTTTGTTTAAAATATCCCTCACCTGCATGTTTGTTGCTGGAGCTTTAATACCAGTATAGAGACAGGAATGTCCCTTTAAGCACAGGTTTTAGAAAAAACTGTCCAGGTTCAAACCACAACTAATCTGCCACTTACTAACTGTGTGACCTTAACCTCTTTAAGCCTGTTTCCTCATCTATCAAATGGAGATAAATGTAGTAACCACTTCAGTCATTATGAAGACTAAATTACATAATCACATAATCCTTTTTAAGTGCTTAGCACAAGACTAGCACAAAAGAAGTACCCAACAGCTAACACACAGGCACAAACACATGAACACCACCCCACCCCAAAAGGATCTTCGGTATATCATAGGATATAAGATTGTAAATCTGTATGACTCTCACTAAGAAGGGATTTTCATTATTTTAAAAACTCCTGTATTTCAAAGAATATCCACATAAAGAATGTGAGGAGGAAAGAGTTCACAGAATTTAAATTGTCAAATAGCTTTTCAAACAGATCTTATGTAAGGATAAATATGTTCTTTATTCTACACTGACAGTATTTATCAAGATTCCTATTTATCTGGAAACAAAAATGTTGAAGCAAGACAAAATCTAGGTCTCAAAAGAAAATAGTCCTAGGATTTTTGCATCCTATTTCCTACTTTATATATGTATAAGAAATAAAACACTAAATGGTTTTAACATGGCAACTCCAGCAAAAAAGAAGAGGTCATAGTTAAGTGAAGCTATAACCACAATTTCCAAGGTAGTACCTACGAGTGTCATTTTTAAGTTTTTCCTAACTATAGAAATATTCACAAGCCCTCTTACCTTTAAGATTCTTCAGGTGGAACAGTCACGTAATCAGTTTTCCATCAAACTATTCTGGGGAGGGAATTATGAAAATTAGTCCCATTTTACTTCACTTTCACCCAGCTGCTACCCTATTTATCTTGGGTTCAGAATAAAAGAGAACAGTTAAATATAAAGAATGATTTATTCCAGAAGGCCTTAAACAGTGAATACGATTTATTTAGAATGTAAGACATTTTGACACAGTTAAGTATATGCCTTCAACTATGAAAATACACACAGGTAATGGAGGCAAAGAATAACGAAAACATTTTGTTTAGTGAGAGAAGCACAAGAAGTCACATTTCAGCATATAGGAAAAAACCAATTGAAAACAAAGTAACAGAGAACTAGAAAAAAATCTACCCCAACAAATAGACTGGTCATATCACCTAAGAAGACAATTTAGAAAAAGATACAGAAATTCAACAACTACTAGAATTTAAATTACTTCCTGAACTCCAGACCTTTAGTATGCTTAACCAATAGTCACTTTTCTCTTTCTCTCTCTTTATTCAAATAGGCCCTATACCAGATTCCCTACCTTGCTACAGCCTGTATTTATTCATTTAATAAATATTTAGCCAGTGCCCCTATTTTCTAGGTACCATTAGGCCTTATGCACTGATACACAAAACAAAAACAAAAATCAACAATTACAATATAGTACAGTATAGCAAGTGCTATGATGGGGGTAAGCACAAGATGTAACAGGAGCATATAATAAGCACCAAATCCTTGCAACATACGTACATTTGTAAAAAAGGCTTCCCAACTGAGACCAAAGGGATTAAAAACATATTTTTCTAACCCCTGACCATTCTGTACCACTGCAGCATTTCCATCTTTAAAGGACACAGAACTGGAATTACCAATTCAAACATGATAGTGAGAATTTTAATTTTCAAAACAAAGGAAGGATACATGCAAATCAGAGCACATAGGTAAGTTCATGTGCTTGCTATGTTAGACTTCCTATATGGAAATGACCACTGGAAAAACATAAAAGATAACACTGTGCCTGACCCCACACCATAAAGGCTTAACCTCCAAAAAAGGTTTTCAGATAATGGCTGGACATACACACTGGTAAAAGAGAAGTATCTTTTCTCTTTCAACAAGTTTTATAAAATACTACATTCCACATAATTATCTGAGTATACTGATTGTCCAACTGAACACCATACATTTAAAAAAATAATCGGGGCAGGGTGCCTGGGTGGCTCAGTCGGTTAAGCACCTGCCTTCTGCTCAGGTCATGATCCCAGGGTCCGGGGATCAAGCCCCGCATTGGGCTCTCTGCTCAGCGGGGAGCCTGCTTCACCCTCTCCCTCTGCCACTCCCCCTGCTTGTGCACTCTCTTTCTCTGTCAAATAAATAAAATCTTTAGGAAAAAAAAAAAATAATCAGGGCACCTGGGTGGCTCAGTCAGTTAAGTGTCCAACTCTTGATCTCAGCTCAGGTCTTAATCTCAGGGTGATGAGCTCAAGCCCCATTGGGTGAAGCCTACTTAAAAAAAATTTTTTTTAAATAACTAATAGGTCTTTTTATAGTAAACAAAATGTTTGTCCCTTTAACACATCAATTTCTCTTTATTCATGATCACAATTATGTATTTTTTCAACATCACATTTTTTCAGTTAAAAATAAAATTCTTAATCAGAAAGTACAATGAAGGGGTGCCTAGGTGGCTCAGTCTGTTAAGTGTCTGCCTTCGGCTCAAGTCATGATCCACGGTCCAGGGATCAAGCCCACATCGGGCTCTCTGCTCAACAAGGAGCCTGCTTCTCCTCTCCCTCTGCCTGCCCCTCTGTCTGCCGCTCTACCTACCTGTGCTCTATCAAATAAATAAAATCTTTAAAAAAAGTACAACGAAGAGCCAGCAAATTATGTATTTACAAAAACAGCAACAGAATTTTCATTTCTACCAAGAGTTTCAATTTCACCCCAACTTTATAACTACAACCAAGAGTAAAACTGAAATGGATAAGACTTTCAATCAATTTCAGCTTTAGTGAACTCATTCACATGCTGTTATGGTCTGAATGTTTGCATCCCCCAAAATTCACATGCTAAAATGCTGAATATGTGATAGTGTAAGTGGGGCCTTTGGAAAGTGCTTAAATCATAAAAGTAGAACCCTCATGAATGGGATTAGTGCCTTATAAAAGAGGCTACAGAGAGATCCCAAGCCCCTTCCACCACAAGAGGATGCAAGGGAAAGTCTGTGACCTTGAAGAGGGCCCTCACCCAACCACCCTGCCGCCAGAACTCTGAGAAATAAATTTCATTGCTTATTAAGCTACCTGGTTTGTGATATTTTGTTATAGCAGCCTGAACAGATAAGACACATGCTCTTCTTTCAGTTACTATTGCACATCAGTCCCTGGAAATACTTTCTAATTTAGTTTTTGATAAGATCTTCAGTGATCTGGTTGCTTCTTAGCAACTGATCAACAACAGGATTTTCTGGGAATCTTTCATATTCAATTCCTTCATTCTGGGCCTATACCAAAAAAAAGCTTGTTTCCCAAGCACCATTCATTGATGACCAAATAATCTTATATCTTGTTGTTTACCAAGGAAACTGAAAATAAAAAAGATGAAGTCATCTACACTTATCAGTCTTATAATAAAATCAGCTTCCCGTATCAATCTAGGAAGTGAAGATATGCTTCAGAACGTCTCTAAAATTCTCGTGCAGTGTCTGCAACATCATGTGAGAGCCAAGAGTCCACTAATATGAAGCATATCACCTCATACTAAACTCTACAATGACCAATAACCTAATTACTGAAACAAATTATTTTTTTTAAAGATTTCATTTATTTGACAGAGTGCGTGCAAACATGGGGGGGGGGGCAGAGGAGGAGACAGAAGCAGACTCCTCAATGAGCAGGGAGCCCAACGCAGGGCTCAATCCCAGGACCGTGAGATCACATGATCTGTGCCAAAGGCAGATACTGAACCGAATGAACACCCAGGCACCCCCGAAGCAAATCATTTTTAAAAGGTTAGAATGAATAAAGAATAAAATAGTTCCAAAGTGAAGGGAACTGGAAATCCTTAGGCAGAACACATAGATTAAACTGAAAACAGGAAAACAAGTTTTTCAAATGTAATATAATTATGGAAAATTAGATTTCATGAAGACTATGCTCTAAAAGAGAAATTAATTTTCCTATTTCCTTTACATTTAATGTAGCATCATCTCCTCAATAGGGCTTGCACTGTTACACACAGGATCATGATATGTTAAAAAAAAATGTAACTGACAAACCAAATTTAAATGAAATAAGGAGATTCAAGTTGCCATTACGTTCTAAAATTGGTAATAAGTAAACAGGGCAGTTCTAGTTCTGGGTAAAATGGAGTAAGCACATTCCACCTTGTTAATCTCACTGACTGAAACTATAAAACCCAGACAGAATAAATGGAGCAGCTAATTGAAATTTTGAAAGTAAATAATAGCAGGTGGATTGGGGAAGAGCCCAGAATCTGATATATTATCAGGCTGGTAGTGAGCTTCTAATTTTTCCATCCAGTTTTGCCCCCAGCCTGGACTTAATGGCACCTGAAACCCAAAAAGTGGCTGTTGGGAACAGCAGAGAGAAAGAAGGCTCTAGGAAAAGCCCTCTATCTCTGTCCAAGGAGTGGAAAGGGGCCTCCTAATTGCTTAGAAAGAGTAAGGGAAATCTCTTCTTTTTTCTGTTCCTCATTCCCCATGACCCAATTCCCAAGCAATCCTGACAGCTGCAACAGTGGCAGCAACAGAACTAGCAGGAGCCTAAAACTCTGAGGGAAAGGTACCATCCTCACTGACTCAAGAAACTGGACTAATCTCAATTTTTCTCCTGTCTTTCTGTCACTTGCCTCCAGATGAAACTGTAGTAAATACACACCACAGTGGAATGAATGAAATGAAGCCAGAGGACTGGGGCGGGG